CACAAAAATTTGTTAAAAGAAATTTTGAGATAACTGGGACTTCCAAATAAAGGGTATATAAATTTATGCGTGATTTGTATCACTGGGAGCAGGCACGCTTTCGAAAACCATAGAAATATGTCAAGGTAGAACAGGAAGCTGGGCTCCTCATTAGAAGCTCAAGTGAGGACAACGACGACTGCAACAAAAACGGCAAAAAAAAAAAAAGAAAAAAAATTAGCCTTAGGTTTAGATTGGAAGAACAACTTTTTTATACATTCCTTTGTAATCGTTGTACGAAATTGTACGACCACGACGTGACACTGGCTTATTTCAGTGGTTTTGTGGAGGACCTGAACTCAAGACATCGACACAACATTTGATAAACTGGACGACATGGAATATACTGACCGGTGAATTTTGAAACACCGTGAATTCACTTTGTAAGAAACGTTTTAGCCAACGTCGTCGTTGGTTAAGCTCCCCATCGAAAAAGAGAAAGGAAAACAATCTAACCCATTTGAACGTTGTGCTCTTTTAAGAACGGAAATAATTTTTTGCCACCTTGTACCTATTGTCTTGAAATTAGCACAACATGGAATTCGTATGCAGGAGGCGTCAATTAAAAGGCGCTTGTGGCCTTTTTCTGGTGAGAAGTAAAACGCTAATTCTAAGAGAATGCAAAGAGAAAATGAGGCGGTTGACCTAAGCAAAACTCATTAGCCTGTTCCAAGCGTTCAGATAGCGGAGAGCGGTGCGAAGTAAAGAAAGCGATAAAAAGTAGAGGGGGACTGGGGAGAGAGGTGAGGGAACCTCTCTCTCCCTCTCTCACCCCTCCCCCCCTCCCTCGCTTTTATTTTTTTCGCGCTCCTTTTTAGTTCGCACCGCTCCCCACTATCTGAACGCCTGGAACCATAGTTAATTGAGTGGAATGGTTATGAAACCCGTCAGACTCCTTTGTTATATGTTTTTGTGGACCTGAAAGTGCACAACGTTCAAAAGAATTCCTATCAGTTTGATTGTATTGACCAATAAAAACGTTGCATTAATTTATTCCGTAACAATTTGCCAACAGAAAACAAAGGATTGTGCACTTTCAGGGTGCTTCCAACATAAACTGCAGCACTGTTGTTTTTATCATTGATGTTTGCCGCTTTTCATAACCAGTCTCCTCTAATAACTATGGTGGAACAGGCTAAAAACTCATAAATGAGTGAACTATTAATGTTCTAGAACTTCTGGTTTCAGAACCTTTTCATACTTCGTCATTACTTGCACCCAATATTAAGCTTTCAATGAATGAAAGTAAAGTCGAACTTCTCTCCAACGGCGATCTTGAGAAGAAAGATAAGAGTCCGATGGGGTGGCTCCGCCTGAAAGGGGCACCTTTTTCATGCTTCAGGTATAAATTATGAAAGGTTAGGGATTTCAGTAGTTGAAGTCGCTGAAAGGGCCAGGGGGAGGGGGAGACTCCGCATATGAAAGGGGTGGGGATGCTCGTCGGAAATTTTGATTTAAACCCCTAAAGGAGACCGATCTGGGCGTGGCCCAAGCTTTTCCTGACCCCTAAAAGAGACCATGTTAGAACACACACAAATGAGAAAACTTGGATTATATGAATGGAGTAAATGAAACGCATTAAAAATATACATATCAAATATATATTTTATGTTTTTTCGAGTGCAACCCTAAACGAGACCTTCACGGCTAAATATGATGACGTTTTGCCCAGAACACCCTAAGTGAGACCAAAATCTGAAACTTACACCCCTAAGCGAGACGACAAGCATCCCCAACCCTTTCATATGTGGAGTCCCCCAACCCCCCGGGTGAAAGGGCAGGGAAATCTGTCATTTTGGTCTGTAAAAGGAATCAAATTTGGCTAACAGATGCATTTTATGGCTGGCTGTTTAGTGACACCTCACTCACAGAAGTTAAGAGATATAAATATAGGCTATATAGGTATGTGCAGCTGTGAAGGGTATGGTTTTCAAGCAGTTTAGTCTAAGATAGGGTATAGAAATCAGAGAGTTTGGATCTAGAATAGGGTATCATTTTCCAGGAAACTGATTAATCGGTTGAAGATTTTAGTCTAGACTAGGGAAACCGAAAATTGACACTAAAACATGAAACCAGTCAATAACTACAACTCAGTCCAATCACAAAGAAAACACTGATAGCTGAATATCATTGAAAATAGCAACACTAGAATAGGGAGTAGCCGCAGACGTATTTCCGGCCGTTGCTTCTCTTCCTCCGAAAAATTAATCGGTGGTTGAAACTAGAAAAAGGAGCCGAAAAAACGGGATGCTCTCACACAACCTCGTTCTCATGGCGCTTTTCCCGCCCCGCCCCCAAAGCCAAGGAAAAGCGCCCTGGGGACGAGGTTGGCTCTCACAGGCTAAATGGGAAGGGGTTTTGGGTGTTTAGTCTGGTATAGGGTAGCCTCCCCGCAGACGTCCTTTGGGGTTCGTTTGTCACGCATTCATTTCTCCCCCGTGGGGGAGAAATGAATGCGTGACAAACGAACCCCAAAGGACGTCTGCGGGGAGGCTAGGTATAGGGTAGAAACATTCAGCTGAACTAGCTGTGGTGAAGGCTACTGATACCATGTTCTCAGCGGCACATCCTTACCAAAAAATTTCTAAAGTGTCCCCCACCCGAGGTTATGTACAAATTCGGGATCAATTTAGGTTTCCCGGAAACTGCCCACCTACCCCTCCTCTAAGCTGACATTAACACTAAACGCCTCCTTTTAGGCAAAATGATGGCTCAGGGGAGGGGTAGGTGGGCAGTTTCCCAGACACCTGAACTGATCCCAAGTTCGACCTGTCATGAAAAAGAGGGTACTACACAATGGAGTAGTTTATGTGAAGTGCTGTATTAGGTGATGTTCGCACTGCGTTTTCAGATGACAAGTGCTAGGTACTCGTTTCGACACCTTCTTTTCTCAAGTACCCACGCCAAAATTCAGCCAAGGTATCAGTGCACGAGTACAACGTCGAGGCCTTGTCGTACACTAAATATTAAGTATCGGGTTCCTTTGTGCATGCATTTTCTGTTAGTTCCAGGGACATTCACTTCTTTACATACCCATAACTTCCTGCTTCGCTCAACTTTAAAAATGACATCCAGTAGGGTGAAACAGGGCAAATATTTACACAGTGGGATCACAGCACCATTTTCTGCTGCTACCCGGCACCAATGCCCAGTCATCAGTTGTTAAGAGCTCCTTAGATACTTTTTTAAGTTCACGCTCGAAAAGGAATAACTTTATTTGCTAGACATGATAGCGGAGCTCCACGCGCGCGCGCATTGCGGAGCCCCTTAGCTAAGAAAATCTTGAAAATTTGATAATCACGTGACCGTACACTGAACGACCAACCGTCCGTCTGCATCACAGGCATACCAATGTAAAATAACTCATTCAACAGGTATGGCCACCCAAATGCAACTCGAGGTTATTTTGGCGGGAAATCGCATAGCCGCCCCCGTCTTGTAAAGCAGAGACAACTAAAGACGAAAATGGAAAGCGGACATTGTTTCTGTATCCGTGTTGTCTAAAGTATTAATGTTAGATTAAATGTTATGTTCACAAATGTGGAATATAGAGAAAGGGAAAGACATAGAAAATCGATAGAAAAAGAGAAAGCTGGCGGCACGCCAGCGAAGTTCAGCGAGAAAAAGGGCGACAGAGATCTAGAGCGAGAGATGAAAAACAATGGAGACAATTTTTTGTTTGGAGAACGACATGAAAATTTTGTAACAGCGGCTACCAATGCAAGGTGAAAATGAGTGGCAGTGAAAAAACAATGAACGATAACACGTACGACATTCCTTCCATAAAATGTGTAACTAAGAAGTTTCTGGACGTTTCACGTTGTAGTCGTGAAAAACAACGGCAAAGGAATATACAAAAAAGTGTGCTGCACGTGCAAAGTAATTAGAGACATTAGACGTATTGTTGTTTCTCACCGTTCTCCGGCGTTGCCTTCGCCGTTTAGCATTATAGTTTGTTTGAAAGAGCTTCGCTTTTAGTCCTGTCTAAACGTATATATTAGTGTCTTCTTAATCCTTGGTTGGTCAGCCATGCATTGCACACAGGGAAAAATAACGGATTCCCATTTTTGGATATTTATGGGTGTTAAAGAATACCCATAAAAATCCCAAATTTGGCAGAGTGAGACAAGTCCCAACCAGGGAATTCCCAACCAAGTTCCCTGATTGGGACTTGTCTCACTCTTCCAAATTTGGGATTTTTATGCGTATTCTTTAAATGCCCTAAGATATCCAAAAATGGGAATCGGTTATTTTTTCCTGTGGCATTTGCAATACTGGTATCAGCATGCATCCCAACATTATTCTATTACTCTATTATGCACCCCAGCCATAAAATCCAAAACATACGTAGGACGCACGTTTTCCACTGCAGCAACTCAGTTATGGAACACTATCCCAGAATATATCAAAAATGCAGAAAGTGTTGCTACACTTAAAACAAAACTTGAAACATTTTTATTCAAGGAATATTTCCATTGATTTTTATTCTTAACGTTTTTCTAGTATTTTAAAGTGTACAATATATATAATATGTCACCTAGGCAAGAGAGTTTTCTTATTTTCCTTTTTTTTCTTATCCATGTAATGCGTATTGGGGATGGAACATGCGCTCAATAAGAACGTATATTCTTCTTCTTCTTCTTACATTTTCTGTGCAGGGCTGGAAAAAAGTCCGATCCAGCAGTCCTGTCCTGCAAAAGTAGGTTTTCTTGGCTGGCAAGTAACTTTTCCAGTGCACTAGCCCTAAGACAAGCAAGCAGTGGCTCTAGGCCGGCAAAATGCAAGAGCTGTTTGCCGAAAGGACAAGATGGGATTCAAGTTTTTTTTCAAGTCCTACTGTGGTACCTAAATGATTTATAAAATGAATTAACTTAACAGACAACACCACTTAGCCTAAAAATTAAATTAGTCCAAGGATCACTTTAAATATTTATGGTAAATAAAACACTATAACTGTACTTTTATTTGCAAATTGCCTCAAAGGCATCCAAAGTTTTCTTAATCTCCTTCACTTGTTCTGCCATGTTTTGCACAGGTTTTAAGCTGGCATTCAGTTCTTCACACCTTGCAATTAGAGTGTACATTGATTTGATGTTCTCATCTACAGTTTCACTCACATGATCCACACAAGAGTTATACACACCAAGACATTCCATGCTTACTTGTGACATTGCCTTTAAAGTATGCACAAGTGCTGTAAGCATGTGATCCAGATTTCTGGCAATGTCACCGGCCTTAAGCTCCAAGTCTCTCAATACCTCAGGATCAACTGGTGGTATCTCGGACAGACATGACTTGTGAACATTCTCCCAGTCGTCAAGTGATGCAACCTCGCTCTTATTTATTTCTTCATAAGTGTCCATTTCAGCTCGTGCTGAAAGCGTTCTTTCTGCTTTTGTCTCCATAGAAACTTCTGAAGCAGGACTGGAAATTTGAGAATCTTCTCGTTTCAGTTCTGCAGTTAAATGACTTTCTGTCCCTCCATCATTTGCTGCAGCTGATGATGATTCTTTACAAACTGAGCTCTTTTCATTCTCACTCCTGCCTCTTTGGTCTACAAAGAAGAGATGGAGAAACAAAATGGAGATACATTCTGTTTATCAAAATTTGATTTCAGGTTAATTTTGATTTAACCAAGATTAATTCTCATTTTCCCCGGGTTTTCTTGATTTCCATGAGAAATCAAGAATCAACTAGGTGAAAAAATTCCAAACTGAAATCAAATTTGACCTGCAACATATACAGGTATTTTGAGGAAAGGTTTTCGGAAAAAATGTGTACGCGACAATCTCAAAAGGTAATATGGGATATGATCAATACACGACGACTGTAGCTGTCGAATTTACTTTTGCTGCTTTCCTTTAGCACTCCCAAACATATGTCCATGGGCTCTAGTGCCATTCTTTCAAATTTCTTTGAAGAACAGTGGACTCAAAACCACTCAGAACACCCTTTGGGATTGTCATGTGCACTTTTTCTGACAACCTTTCTCAAAATAACTGTATACATGTACTCAGATACGTAAACACAGTCAAGCTTCCCTTACTCCGTTAAGCCCCAAAATCCCCTTACAAATTCTCCTGGCTGATCAACAAAGATTTCCTTAAAGAGTTATTTGGGAGAAATTAATGAAAGATCAAACCATTATTTTTCCACCAAGTGATCATTTTATTAAATCATTCTCATAACTTTTTCTTTTCGTGATGTATTGATAATTGTTAGGAGAAAATTGATGTTGGTTTCTCTTGGGACTAAGAGTAACCATTCGAAGTGCAAGGAATTAGTGGTTTACAGCGTGCAAAGAAAGTAGTGTGCGATAGCCCGGGGCTAGTGGATTTTGCTATCGGGCTAGTGAATTCTGTTTTTAACTTGCCTGATGGGCAAGTGATGTTTTTTGAGGAATTCGAATAACAGAAGAACTGTGAAATCAATTCTGCTAGTCAAAAAGTTTTTGGGGCTAGTTGAAATGATGTCTGGGCTAGTAAATGCTAGCTTCAGCTTGCCTGAATGGCAAGCTGTAAAAATATTTTTCTTTGCACCCTGGGTTTAGTAATAGACCTTATTCCTAACACCTGCCATCTTTGCACCCACTTAAGGACTGATGCGAAATGGTTTCTGAGGGGGCAGATACACTGTAAGTGACAATAGCCTGGAGCTAAGCAAAGACGTTTTTGAGCAATGCACCTTAACTGGAAAATATGGATTTTTTTTATTCTTGAGTGGTGGTTTTGCCCAAATGTTTGGGCAAGTAACAGTCTCTGCAACAGTTAAAACACTTTACAATACGAATTTTGAAGTGTCAAGACATATTTAAAAGGGAAAAGACCTCATTTCCGGTTGAAGTGTGTCACTCAAAAATACCTCTGCTTAAGCTCCCAAATATCTCCCATCAAAACAAAAGGGCACGCAAAAATAGCTGGTATTGTGAATAACGTAGTCTATTACTTGCGACTTCTGTTCTGAGACATGGTTATCATTATGTGTGGTGGTTGGACATGGAAATCTGACCATACTTGAAGGCCCACATTGAAGTTACCATCAAGAAACTGATTCTGTTTGTTAAAGTCTTCACATTTCATTTCATTTCCTCCCATCATATACATGTACAATGTAGATAGAGGGAGAAATTGGGGCTGATCGATCATGCTTGTCTTGATGGTTGATGATTTTCCATTGCTTTTAACCTCTCTCACATTCTCTGATCCCTATGTTCGCAGTGTTCACTACGCTACTTAGAATATACGAAGAACTTTAATCAGGAGCACCCAACAAGAATATATTTCAAAACCACTAAAACATAGCATTGTTAAACGTATTTTAGTATTTCAAAGGTAGATATAGGCATATTTTTATCCCCTAAAATTTTTTCATCTGTTCAGACTTCCTAGCTGAAGGTCTAGTGATCCGAAAATTATAGGGAGCAAAACTTGCCTTTTCGAAACTTTCAGCCAGAAAAAAGGCTCTCGAAAATTCTAGGTGACCTTTTTAGGGTAAAAATCTGTTAAAATTGGCCAATTATACCATTTTTAGATGTTCGAAAATACTAGGAGAAGCAGGCAAGCAAGAAATTTTACAACAAATGTTCCGAAAATTCTAGATCTCAAATAGTCTTCCAAACAGATATTTTCCGAAAATTGACGTTGGGTGCCCCTGTTTAATGACAACATGGATCTACTCATGTCCTAACTTAGACATTGTATGAAATGAGTTATCTTCCATAAAGTAGATCTGCCAAGGGAAATTCTGAGGGCACGGGGGGATAACCCATTTTGGAAATTCTGAAGTGGAGGGGGGTTAAAACATGGAAGCCGTCCGTAGTAAGGTATGGATATTTTCTGCAATCGCCCATTGCATCTGAAGAAGAAACTCTCTTACACTTGTAGCTTTACTCCAAGATTTGCATGCAACCACTGCAGAACTAGGGCGAGATGTTGGGGAAATGTGAGGGAAAACTGTGTCCTATGGGATAACATTATGGCTAGAAAAAGAAGACGCTTGCTGAAGATGCCTGCTGGTTATTTAGACAATATCCTATTTTGCTTAAGCTGGATATCCACTGACGCGTTTTTGGCTATGCACGTTAACGCACGTAAATTTTAATCACATAAATAAAATAGAGGCAAGATAAAAAGTGCTGAGATTAAACAAGAAGTTGAGTGAGGTTCAACTTTTGTGCTTACAAGCGACCTTTCATGCATTGCCCCTATTTTATTTGTGAACATAAATTTTATGCATGTACACATGTAAAAATTACACGACATGGGAAATCAACCTTTAGGAACTGAATGAAATTTCTCACCCACAGGAAGAGCCATGTACTTTATATAATATAACTTACAATTAAGCTTATTTTCTAAACTCTCAATGGTTGCCGCTATGCTCTTTAAATAAGCACCTTTCATGATAAAAAACACAATTTAATACAAGAAATAATTTAATTTTACATGTTTTATGAATTTTTTTTATGTTTATGGCATGGTGATGCTGTAATGTGATCGCTCTCATCAGGTCGATACATACCGGTAGTTCCTTATAAGTAGGACCTGAACAATCGATGAAATCGATAATCGATGGCAGTCGATAACAATCGAGGACAAACGATATCAATTAATCGATTGATATTGATAATCGATGGACAATCGATCACAAAAATTTTTGTGATTATTGATTATCATTGATTATCAATATCAATTGATAAATCGATGGGAATTGATCAATTAACATGACGGAGCCACATCGATGAACAATTCTCAAACTTTGCTACTGAGGTTTCAAAATAATATACGATCTGCGTACACTTCCGCGATACCTGAAGATACGGAGACATGAATTTAGTGCCAATCGATGGCAATCAGTGAAGTTCGCGACCACCTAAGTGTGATTATCGATTGATCATCGATTGGCTGATGCCAATCGATGCTAGTCAACAGTAATTAATCGATTGTCATCGATTGATCGATTGATTTTCCGATCATCGATTTGCATCGATTGCACAGGTCCTGTTATAAGCTTACCTTTCTGATCAGAAGTGCTTGTAGACTGTTTTGACGTTTTCTCGCTGATTGGGTGATCTTTGCTAGAACAACTTTCTGCATCTTCACCTTGGGTTTCTTTGTCCAATTTTGACGAAGACTTTGTAACGGATCCTTGAGAAGAGGCGTCCATTTATTCCACCCACTAAAACTGCAATCGTAGTGAAATCGAATCGCAAGTCTCATCGAACCGCCATCTTCTTTGTTTGGAATGGCGACAACCTGACTGAAGGACTGGGTACTATCGACGAAGATGAACCGGAATTTTCCGAAGAATCACGAAAATAAACGGTGAATTGGAAAGGCCAAGTGTTTTTGAAAGCGTGAAGTAATGTCACGCATTTTATATTTCGATTGTCTGCGATGCGCGCAAAGGTTGGAGGGGAGTCTTGTGGAAGCTTGATGGTTGGACATAGGAAACAAAAGTCGATTTTGGTTGCTGCTGTTCTTATAGCAGTCTTTCTCATCGCTTTTTACTTTAATTCTCGTCCGAAGCCTTTCAAACCTTTCACCGCCTTGATCGTGTCCACGACTCACACACAGTCGAATACTGCCGGGCAAGAGTCCCTCGACAAGGACAATCTCAAATATCAGGTGTACAATAATTCTGTGCAGTTCGATCACGTAAGTAAACTTAGTTTCGTCAAATAACTGTTTCGTGATTGTTGGAAATTGTGAAAGTACATCTTGGCGGCTTCTCTTGTTCATGTTCAGCCCGCCCGCTCGAGTGCCTGTAGTCTTAATGACAATTTGAAGGTTTCTTTCTCTTTATATGTTCTTCTTAATTCCGAGTCACAAACTTGTATTTTAATCTAAATTTCTGTAGCTTGACAATAATCAAAGTTTGGTCTTCAGTCACTAAACCAGCAATTATGTACATGTATGTACCTGCATGCATGTCGACTCAAAGAAAACCAACAATCTATATCAAGACTTTGAACTCTCTTCTAAAAAATTCCTTAAGATGTATCCTTAGGCGTTGTTTGACTTAAAAACATGGAAGTATACTCTGTTACTTACTTTACATTGTGAGTAAGAAAAGTTTGGGTTGTTGTTAAGAATAATTAGTGAGCGGTTGCTCAACCATCCCTTAATTTATCATTTTTATGATTAATTTATAATGTATATTATAGTAAGAGGACAATAATATTGCTGCTTCAGTGCGAATCAACCTTGATGGACCCCCAAAAGGAACAAACAGAAACATTTGCTGATTTACAGTCCCGAGTATAAAGTTCTAGAATTAATACACAACATAGCAACAATCCTTCAGCTTTGGAAGGCGCACAAGTGATAAAACGTTTTACAGACAGCTGTGCCAATAGAAAATTATTATAGCCCATCCTGAGTACAGCTTGGTGAAGGACTGATAATTATTAAATTACTTGGGCTAGTTGCTGAGAGCCACAAATCAAGTTTACGGCTCTGTTTTTATTTTTGTGCAACCTGGAAAGGAAAGGACAACTGCTCAATATTATTGTGCCTCTGGAAAGTGTTTGGGATCCTTCACCTTTTCTTTCACTCTTTAGAAAACAACATCAAAAATGTGTTGAATTTTACCCCTTTATCTCTGAAATTCTCAGTGTAAATATTTACTGTGTGGCATGATATTTGGCTTCCATAGAAATGATGTCTTTGTCTTTATGCTGTTAGTACGTAGTGATTTGTGTAATAAATTACACTTCCTCCGCATAAAACATCACATTTCTACCTGTCTTTAATGCAATGCAAGTGAGCTAGAACAATAGATAAGCATTAAATTTGTTTGGTCAAAGAAGAAATCAAACAAAACTTGTTTTTAAATAGTTTTAAGGAACCCAACATTTAGAACCACTGTGATTTTCCGTGGACTAAATCGACAGTAACCTTTTGAAATTTTCTTTGGTGCGATGCTTTAAGGTCCAGTTACTTTGGTGATTATCCACAAGATTTTTATTTCTCTGATCTGGAGACTGGGAGATGTGGTCAAAAATCTGGAGTCTCCAGATTGTCTGGAGATTCTGGATTATCCGGGAGAGTTGACAGCAATGCCATGTAGCTGATGAGGCGATATTCCTATATTTAAATACCAAAAAATGTTGAATGTTTTTAAAAAACAGACATTTGGGGTGTATGACCCTTCTTGAACGTGAGGAAAACCGTTTACAAAATGACTAGTTTTCTTCACACTGAAGAAGGGTCATACACGTGAAATGTATGTTTTTAAAAACATTTGTCACTTTTTGATGTATATTTTTATGGAATCGCTTTGCCTAATAATAGGTACACCGTACTGATGTACATGTACATGCAAGTAGAAAATTTAGTTGTTGATATCTTGCTGTTATATTTCAATTTCTTTAAACAGTTGTGGTTCAACAATAACTGCCTGGAAACATCAACACTGAATACAGGGATAGAAAATATTAATTCAGTTGTAGATACATGGAAAAACTCTCTTGGTACAAATTGTAGGTAGGTAACTATGTAACTTGGAGTTTGATTTATTATTGATCGTGGCATTTCTACTGTGAACTGCAGGTCTTTATCAGCATACTGCAGGCTTTCAGTCGGTAAGGGTAAGGGGCTTTTCACATGATACAGGAATAACTTTCCTTCTGGAATGAGTTTAGTTCCAGAGCGAGGTTCTTACTGTTCCACATTATAAAATCAAATGGCTCAGCCTAAGGCTTTCTTGCTTGTGTGGTTTTTGCACGAGATTAGATACGCATGCACCATTCACTCCAGACTACATGGTTTGGAGTTTTCAATCTGGAACAAAGTTCATTTTTTGTTTACATGATATATGCCAGAATGAAATTTCGTACTAGAGTGAGATTTTTATAACGTAAATGTTGCTAATTAAAAGTTGCACAAAATGACATACATGTACATTTATGGCTTAGTTTCCGTTCGATGGTGGCCGCTTAATACAGGTAACAAAAATTAATACAGGGTTTGTATGAGTGAAAAATTGCGACTTTGAAAACTGGTCGCTTAATATAGGGTGGCTGCTTAATACAGAGCCGTTATATACACGTTTAACTGTAATATTAAAATTCACTCCATGTAAGAGAATTTGACAGTTTATACTCTGGATTCCTCCTTGTGGATTTTGGATTCTAGACATACTGGATTCCAGACTTAGACTTAGATCCCAGATTCAAATCGTTAATGGGATTCCAGATTCCTTGAGTTGTATTCCAGATTCCAAAGCCTAGGATTCTGAATTCCACGAGCAAAATGTTCCTAGATTCTAGATTCCGCAATCAAAAATTTCTTGGATTCTGGAATCCTTATTCCCTTTCACGGGGTGATAACTTAATACCGCTTTTCCTTTTTCAACGAGACAACTGCCTAAAGCTTTTACGGTTGAACCAAAATTGAATCCATTTGATTAGACTGAACTAAAATTTTCAGACATTTTGAGTGAATAGAGTGCACTCTTTGCCACCTTAAATATTCCTATAAAAGTTTTTCATGTTAGTTTGTTCTCTCTTTCAGGGATTTATATATGAAATTTAGTGATATTTATATTGTAAGAAGTCGAAGTGCTCCAGTTGTAATACCTGAAACATTTGCCCCCAAGGTAGGATTTAGCTCAACTGTTTTAGTTCCATGAATTTTTATTTTTAAAACAACACAAAAATTTAAATCTTCCCCAGGTTATGCAGAACTTCAAATGTTAAAGAATCTCTGATTTCATTTTGAAAGAAACTGGGACACAAATACATGTGGTATCATGTGGAAATACTGTTAAAGTAGTGAAGAGCGAGATTTCACTGAAACTGAGAATTAATTTTGCAGGGAGCAAAACTAACTGACAACATGACTCTTTTGCTTTAATGGAAGGATAAAAATAACTTTTTTGTCATCATACGCTTTGCCACTTTTATTGTAATATTATGGCCTGCCTTTGGTGTATATGTGTGGCATAAATGTACTGCATTGGTATGAATTTGACTACATGTAGTTCCTGAAGTTGTAAGTCTTTCCTGACGAGTTTGCATTGATTTTTACAGGTTCTTAAATGGCTTGGTGGCAAGAAAAAGCTGTTAGAAGAAGCAAGTTTACAGGTACAGTCTAAAAACAGCTTTATGTGCACATGTACTTGCTGCTAATTCTACCAATAACGTACCCTGTCATGTTTTCTAATGTCATTGCAGTAATGCCTTTACTTTACATTGTGTGCTGTAATATGGTGCCCTATATTATCAATATAGCAAAACTACAGTAGTCCCCTTGGTGGGGGGCATGGGGGGTGGGGTAGGAGGGGGGGGGGTACTGATGATGATTGGGATGCCTGTTGAAAAGTTAGAATTAATCTCCTGAAGGACTCCAGGGGTTTCAATGAAAAAAAAGTAACCAACTCTATCCACAAGAAGCTTTTAGTCCCCTTCTTCCAGAGGGGTCTGGGGGCGTGCTCCCCTAGAAAATGCAAAAAAAATTAAATGCCCTAGTGTGCAATTTCCAGCATAAATTGAGTACAAAAGATATTCTATATTTGGAGCAAAAGGTCTATTTTGGTCGAGCAAATTGAATTTTAATTTAAGTTTCAACAGAATCTTTCTTTAATTTAATACTTTATTTCGAGCTTCCAATTAAGAGGGGAAAAAAGTAACCGACTTCTCTGAGTGAAGTAGCTGATGTTGGTGCTTATTGAACCCCCTGGGAGATCATACACCAACACAGTACATGTGGCAATTACATTAATTTTATTATTTTTATTTACAAAAATGTAGGAACTTCTTTACACACAACCCCAAGCAATACCTTTTTGGGTAAATACATGTATATATATGGGTTTTCTGTTCCAACATCCTCAGTGAAACCAAAATCTACAATTTCTATCCCTAAGGGAGACAATGGGAATCTTCCTCATTGTCATGTGCGATTCTCTCCCCTCCCCCCTCCCCACAGGCCCTCTTTTTAGGTATTGATTTTGTATAGATCTGATTGGTGGTTGGTTAATTCAGTCATCTTTGCCTTATTTGCCCAAACTGATTTAACACTGCTTTTCTGTGTTTTTATTTTTCAGCTTATCACATCTGTAGATAACTTGTACACTCAAGAATCAACTGTTTTTAATCCTCTTCGAGCAAAGCGACCTGGAGCTGGAGGGGGAGCAACGGCAGACACAAAGAAATAGTTAGT